CCCACATTCCAAGTCAGAAACGCTCCAAGTTGGAGAACAAAGCCATAGAAGGCATTCTGGTTGGCTACAGTGAGCAGAGTAAGGGATATAGAATCCTTTGTCCAAAGACCAACAAGGTCACAGTAAGCCGCAGTGTTTATTTTGATGAAAGTGAAGCACCAGATAATACAATTCTTGAAAAAATGTGGAGATTTACACACTAAATCGGCAAGAGACACTGACCCATGCGAAGCAGGACAAGAGCCAGAACAAGAAGAAGTGGAACTTACAATCAACGATCCAATAGAACCCACTGAACAACAAGAAATCAGAAGATCCTCACGAATGACAAAAGGGATACCACCCCGCAGGTTATCATACGCTGCTAAAACACATCAAACACAGGAGCCAACATCCTGGGAAGACATAGAAACTTTGCCGAGAAGGGAAGCCGATCAGTGGAGAAAAGCAGCTGAAGAAGAAATAAAATCACTTCAAGAAAATAAAACTTGGTCACTAACAGAACTCCCTCCTGGTCGCAAAACCATCGGAAGCAAATGGACTTTTAAAGTGAAATATGATACAGAAGGAAACATCTATAGATACAAAGCAAGATTAGTTGCCAAGGGATACTCCCAGAAATTTGGAGAAGATTACAATGAGACATTTGCTCCAGTTGTGAAACATTCTACCATAAGAACACTCCTTAGTATTGCTGCCGGAAAGGGAATGCAAGTAAAGCATCTAGATGTTAAAACTGCCTTTTTGTATGGAGACATCAAGGAGGATCTGTACATGGAACAGCCACCAGGATTTGAGAAAGAAAAGAACCTTGTTTGCAAACTGCAAAAGAGCATCTATGGGCTCAAGCAAGCAGCGAGAGCATGGAATGAAAAAGTGAACGAAATACTCAGAAAAGAAGGGTTCTCAAAAAGTAAAGCAGATCCATGTCTGTATTCAAAGAATCAAGAGAACAAATGGACATACATTCTAATATACGTCGATGACATCTTGACGTGTTTTGAACAAGAAGGGGACTATGACCAAATAGTTCACAAACTGAAACAAAATTTTGAAATTAAAGAGTTGGGAACATTACTCACTACCTAGGAATTCAAATAGAGCGGGAAGAGGATGGAAGCTATCTTCTTAACCAAAGTCAGAAAATTACAGAAATGTTAGAACAGTTTCACATGCAAGATGCAAAGGAAGCGAAAACACCAATGGAACCAGATTATCCAAAAACAAGGGAACGTCATTGTTTTCTACAAAAAGAGACTAAATGTCATATAGTTATTCACATGCCGTTGAGAAGGGGTGTTGGGAATGCAACAGTATGTACTATAATGTACTATATATAGTATTGTGTGTTAATATCACTTGACCAGTAGATGGCACTATATACTAAAGGTTACTAGTTGTGTATATCTGAAAACTTGTTTCCTCCTCCTTCTCTATCATCTCTTCAGGAAGTAATGTGTCTGTAATATGTCTGCTGAGAAATGTGCTCTGTATGTTTGCAACTTAAGCCACACAAGTAAAGTCCGAATTCTGCTATCACTACCAGTGTCTTCTCTAACACATAACCAACAGATGTGCCAGAAATAGTTTGCTCCCACCTACCTCTTTGGTATGACAACATCATGTATTTTGAAGCGCATGGTGTCAGCCTTGCCTACTTCATTTCTGACAAAGAACACAGACCTCTCCAGGGGCGGACTGACCATTTGGAAACTCGGCACTGCCCGAGGGCCCGGGGTCAGTAGGGGCCCATGAGATGGTACCTTTTTCATAGGCTTTTTTGAGTTTGGGCAAGGACACAGGGGCCCCATGATCCCCTATTGCCCGGGGGCCCCATGAGTTGTCAGTCCACCCCTGGACCTCTCTTATCTCCCAACCCCCTTCTCATTTCTATAACCCATCATTTGCACAATCAGAGAGCGCAATCAACAAGTATTTTTCACACTTATCAGTTAGATATAACAAAATATTTTCAGGGTTACTAGAATAAGAGAAATATGTTAGCACTTCCGCCTGGCAGTACTCGGGTCATTGGTTCGAATCCCAACCACAGCACCACATTCCTGGAGTTTGCATGTTCTCCCTGTGCCTGCATGAGTTTCCTCCAGGTCCTCCGGTTTCCTCCCACACTCCAAAGACATGCTGGTAGGTTAATTGGTTCCTGTCTGAATTGTCCCTAGTATGTGTATGTATGAATGTGAATTAGGTACCTTAGATTGTACACCCCTTGAGGGTTAGGGACTGATGTGAATGTACAATATATATTTAGATAGATAGATATATATAAAGCACTGCATAAATTGACAGCGCTGTATAAGTACCAGTAATAAATATAAAATAAAATAAATATGTGGGCTGTCATTGCTGGCCTGCTTCTGAAAATGTGGGAAGCCTGACTGGGTCTGGTTTCAGTATTTGTAAGTCACAAACCCAGAACAAGCATGCAGTAAAAGTGATATAAAGGTCAGAAATATTTCTTGTTCCACAATAGTAACTTAGAAAGCAACAAAGGCAAGGCATCAGTATGACAGCTAGGTAACTAGCTTTTTCAGAAAGACAGGTCAGCTGTGGAAACCTTCATTTTTTACTTTCTCATGGCACATTTCCTTTAAAGCAACCCTGTCACTAACTCAAACCTGTAAAATAAGTAAGTGAATATTTATTGTGGCAGCTACACTATAACTTCTGGGATTTGTCAATCTCAGGAGAAACCAGTGAGAGCTGCGCAGGACCCAGAAAATTGACATTCCCAAAAGCGCTGGTTTTCCAACAGACTTTAGAAGATTTCTACTGACTGAAGGTGCAGGCAGCAGAAAAAAGGCTAAGCCTGCTTATTTTCCGGGTATGCCCGTTTTCATTTATTTGTGCTATTGACAGGGTCACTATAAATAAATGAGGAGTAATTGGTGCTGTGCTAATATTAAATATATAAAAATTGTCAAGAAGAAATAATCCTCACAATATAAACATATAAAATCAAATCACAAAGAATAAATATAGAATAAAATACACATGAAGACATCCAAAATAGTGGATAACAGTGAAATACCCCCCAAATATATGAAAGGTGTAACCTAGGTACACCACTAATAATAAATAGGTGACTATGGGTGAAAATAATAATACTTAATAAGCAATGTGAAGAAATGCACATCACAGCACTATTTTAGTGTGTATTTAGCAATGTCTTGTTGGGATCCTATTTACAGATCATATCACTGTTTATGTTGGCACCATTTTATGGTTTAATAAGTATTATTATGCCCATAGTCACCTATTTATTATTAGTGGTGTACCTAGGTTACACCTTTCATATATTTGGGGTGTGTTTCACTGTTATCCACTATTTTGGATGTCTTCATGTGTATTGTATTCTATATTTATTCTTTGTGATTTGATTTTATATGTTTATATTGTGGGGATGGATATTTCTTCATGACAATTTTTATATATTTAATATTAGAACAGCACCAATTACTCCTCATTTAACATTGTTCTATTTGGTATATGGTAAGGTGTTAGCAGCTGTATATATAAATTAGGTACCTAGAGCGAGGGAGGACTACATAGATATATCACTATAAATAAAAGCAGTGGAATCAATGCTTATGATGTGCAAAATCCAGTGACTCATAACAACCAGTCAGATGCCAGTTTAAGTTTAAAAGTTAAAAGCATCAGATCGGTGAAAGATGAATACTGATAGGCTTATATGGGACAGTGCATATAAAAATTGATTGCGATGTACACTAAAAAATCATGAACAATAATAAATCAAATAAATACTGCTATATAAAAAATGTGCATAAATTAATTGAAATTATATAAGTCCACATTCATATATTAAATAATTAAAAGTCCCCAAATCCAATAACACAGTGCTGTGTGCTAAAGAATTCTTCCAAGGGAAAGTGCATAGGTGTCCACAAATGCTTGACACAAAAGAAAAAATCAGCATCTTACCAGACACTTTGATCTCCAATCAAGAGATTAAATCTCTTGATTGGGCAGCACAGTGGCTATATGGTTAGCACTTCCGCCTGGCAGTACTAGGATCGTTCGTTCAAGTCCCAGCCACGGCACCACCTGCCTGGAGTTTGCATGTTCTCCCTGTGCCTGCGTGGGTTTCCTCCGGGTACTCCAGTTTCCTCCCACACTCCAAAGACATGCTGGTAGATTAATTGGATCCTGTCTAAATTGGCCCTTGTATGTGGATGTGAGTTAGGGACCTTAGATTATACACCACTTGAGGGTTAGGGACTGATGTGAATGTACAATATATATGTAAAGCACTGTGTAAATTGACGGTGCTATACAAGTACTTGAAATAAATAAATAAAAATGAGCAGATGGTGTTCAGATCCCACACTGACACCCTAGTTAGCCGTATCAAGGAGCTGAATAGAAGATAAATGGACAACTGCAGGTTCACTTGAACGAATCCATCACATCAGACAGCTCTCCACATCATGCAAGGAAAGGTTTAAAACAGAAGAAGAAAACTTCATAGTGCGACCCGATAAACCAGTAAAAATTTTTATTAAAATTAAAGTATTGCACCTACATAGATAAGGTGCATAAAGGCAGTGTAAAATTCCCATTGTGTCAGACCACCAGCCAGAACAAGGAGAAGTCACAGAAGTGCGTTTCTTCAAAAATGGAGTCCTCTGGGATTGGAGAACACATTTTTTTTCACACATTTATGCACACATTGTATTGTCTGGGGGTGTAGTGCAGGTATTTTTCCTTTTTTTCTGTCTTATATGGGACAGTGCACTTTTTCCCATTTCACGTACACTTATTGAAAAAGCCTATTTGTACGAGAGTATCATACACAATACAATATCTATATTATTTTGCTTTATTTAATGTCTCTACAGTTTTACAGAGCACTAAAGATTCGGATCGCATTGGTTGGCTTGGAGATCTGGACTGCTGGAGATAAGTGCAATGTCTCAGAAAACCCATATATGACCTTACGTGCCTTCCTGACCTACAGAAGAAAGATCCTACAGCAGACGCCACATGACAATGCACAGCTTATAACGTGAGAACATTGTGACGTTGCTGTGACACTATGGTCCTCATTCTAATGCATCCTTAGAATCCAACAACTGAAAATAATGTATGTAATGTTGACAGTGAACTCCAGGCAAACAGCTAAATACACATCTGAAATACATGGGAGCTGCTGTTCATGCCAGGATATTTGTATCTCTGTCCATACAACTGTGCCACAAAACATTGCCCTCTCTAGCATGGAAGGAGACCTTGGCTATAGTTGACCAATACTTATAGGTCTCCTATCCATCCCTAGCCTTTGACTGGACAGTGAAATGAGAATCAGTAACACAGCTGATTGGCTCCTTGTGCTACTTATCATTTCCCCCAGTCAGAGTTCTGTGTACAGTGCATTGCAGGAGGCTCATACAAGCCAAATTCAGGTACTTACAGTGCTTGGGTTATTAAATTACAATTAGGGAAGTGTACAGATAAGTGGCAACCACCCCAATCTTTACCTAGCCTTTATGGTAAGGTTCACATTGAGGAGGCTTTGCACATTACAAACAACAGAAAATTTCCCAGTATACTGCCAGCCCACAATTAAACCAAATTTGCCCTGCCTAAGAGTTCATGTTAAAACAGAGGTTTTAGTTTCACATATTTGCAAATATATGTGAAAGTCACAGTTCCTTGCCTAGGCTCCTCTGTATACTGTGATCCTAACTCTATAGTTTTGATATGCGCGAGAACACATTGGATACCTTCAGCTGCCATTGTGCTTTTGCTGCTTGTCCAGTGTGTCCCTGTGCCTTTAGGGAAGATTGGGCTACCTCCAAGCTAACCATCCTTTCCGTTATTCACTGCTATATGTACTCCAACATGGAGACTCTCAAAATTATAAAGTTAGGACCACAGTACGAGGTGGTGTAAAAAAAGATTCCAGACTAGTTTTGTAACACACCAACAGATGGCAGCTCAAGGCTGCATGCACAGTCACAGGAAGCACTGACCTTCATAAGTCTGTGTACCAAAAGACATTGTCCTGTGTACTCCGGGAGCTGTGCAACTGGTTCTAATCCAATCAAGTGCATTACCATGTCTGCTATATCATCATGGACAGCAAGTTAGAACAAAGAGCAAATGTGAAATTCTGGAAGAAAGTGCTGATGTACAGGTACATGATTGTGACTGTACGAGGCGCCCGCCCACAGTAAAATTACTGCAGACAGTTGGCAAGTGGATAAAGAAGGGCAGCCTGACATATGAACCCAGCTAGTGTGCAATATTTTAATTTTTTCTTGTTATGCATTGCTTTATTTTTGTATTATTTTTGCATAGGCCTTGTTATGTTTTTGCATACCTTGGAATACTGTTGACTGTATATAACTTTTGATTGTACAGTGGGCGATCTTTTCACGGTACAACCATTGGGCTGGCCCCACTTCAGGCGATGTGCTCTTCCTATCAGTCTGGAGGTGTAAACATGGTAAGACAGAACAAATCTGATTTCATTTTGTAAACCAGTATGAAAAACGTAACTTCAGCGCACAGTCTATCTGCTAGAGACTGCTTCATGAACACTTCCAGAATAGTTCAAAGTAGAAGTACGGCTTACCCCCCCATCCTCAGTTTGGGGAGCCAAGCTTTTCTTTCAGTAATGTACCTGTAAATCGATAATCCATGATATGGCTGAGTTTTACAAAATATCATTAGTAAGTGCTGTTTCATTACAGGGCATATGTATTGGTAGATTATTTTATTTTTTTTCAATGTATCAGCAAATCAGTTTAACCTTCATTTATTCTGATAGGATCATTCGGGACAATGCTATTGGAGTTGCAGCCACAATGGCACATGAAATGGGACACAATTTTGGCATGAACCACGATGCTGCAGGCTGTTGTACAGCCAAACCTGAAGAAGGAGGCTGCATCATGGCAGCTGCTACTGGGTGAGCTAGCAGTCCTTATGTAGTGCAGTGACTTATGCTCGATATATAACATTATTACAACTTTTACTAGACCTAGGGCTAGGAATAAACAGGACATGCCAACCCAACACCCTGAAATGACGTTAGGGCAGTGGTCAGGGTTGGTTATGATTACTTCTTTTCTCAAAAGCAATTTTTTATTTTAAACGTTGGACCATGTGACATTGTACATGCTGAACCATGTGACTTGGCTTGACCATGCGAAGATCTCCGTGCACCATTGTATGAGCAGACAACAAGCAGATGTCTCCATGCCCATTTTCTTGGGGGATGTCTGGTTTGTGGCTGTACCATAATAATATTTAGCTAATCATGTATCCATTAATACTGTCATATTCTAGCTTCTGCTGATCTCAGAGACTGTTGCTAAGATGTCCCAACTGGTTTCCTAGCTGTGCTCACCTGGCGTGGCCAAACAATGGTGTCATCCTCGCTCAATGAATAATTTGGAATAGACAATTGGGGGATCCAGCTGTAAAAAAGTCACGCATTTATCATGGGCTTGTGAAAGAGGGTGGCCAAATTACTGCAAGGAATCTCCCGACTTGGATATAAAAAGCCAGTGTATGACTGCAAGTGCCTGCACAAACCTATAGTATCAGTTGTGAGTGTGATCGGACCAGGATTTAAAGTGGATCAGTAATTAATGTAAGCAAGGGAACCACTTTCAGATGCAAGTACAGGCACCCATAGGTGCTCATATGTACCATTAGTGATAGAGAGTGGCATGGGGAGAACCACAACCCACTGCATTATTCCTGTATTTACTTCAGCTAAGGGGCTTTTCACTTTAGCTTGCCCCTTCCATCCCACGTGCTTTGCAATTGCTATACTAATGACCAGCAGATTTAAAAGAAGTCAGCATTTGCATAATAGGTCTCACCATGCTTTGACACTGTCCAGTGTGCTAAATACTTATGTTATGTTCAAATAACTGTAAATATAGATATGCTCAGTGACAATTAATAAAAGGAACCTTTCATTATATAATAATTTCAAAAATCAAAAATCTATAATTTTCAAATTAAAGTCCAATTTCAAATTAAAGTCCAATATCACAAATAAAATAAATAAATAAATACATGTAGTCCAAAAAAAATTGATTCAAGTGTAAAAACTCTCCGCTGCTTGCAAAACCTTGATTACCTCAAAAAAACAAAACAAAAAAATACATAGTGCATTATCCTTTATAAATAAAAATTTACATGTGAAATCAATCCGATAATATTCACCCCAGTGAAAAAACACGTGTATATATCAAACCACATACACATGCGATATACTGTGCAAAACCATGCATGTGAAACACTCTACTGTGCTAAAAACTCATGACACAGTGCACACTTCTATCAGGGTAAGGAGTGAATACCCTTACCAATATTCAAAGCAATTTATGTTTTTGATCTCAATCCACAGAAATTGCCTGGTGATATAAATCCTTTTGAAGATGTCCTCAGGGTTTGCTTTGATCCTATGATACTGTATGGATCCTTCCACCCTAGCAACTCAGATATGTCTCCACCATATACGCCAGTCAGATACCCATATATAAGGAATAAATCATAGCGTGATACTGCCACATACTAAGATCCAAAAACTTTTAATTATCCTGCTTACATTAAAAACATCTTTCCATCGCACATAGTATATAAAGACCTGTCTGCCATCCGGAATCCAGGAGAGTCCTAATCGCAAGTCACAGCCGATTTTTTGCCCTCTCCAAGATGGCCGCCACTCCACTTCCGGTATTCTCGTATGCGTCTGACGTCACCTCCCTTTGACGCGTTTCGTCATTGGACGTAATCATAAATCATGATTACGTCCAATGACGAAACGTGTCAAAGGGAGGTGACGTCAAATCATGATTACGTCCAATGACGAAACGCGTCAAAGGGAGGTGACGTCAGACGCATACGAGAATACCGGAAGTGGAGTGGCGGCCATCTTGGAGAGGGCAAAAAATCGGCTGTGACTTGCGATTAGGACTCTCCTGGATTCCGGATGGCAGACAGGTCTTTATATACTATGTGCGATGGAAAGATGTTTTTAATGTAAGCAGGATAATTAAAAGTTTTTGGATCTTAGTATGTGGCAGTATCACGCTATGATTTATTCCTTATATATGGGTATCTGACTGGCGTATATGGTGGAGACATATCTGAGTTGCTAGGGTGGAAGGATCCATACAGTATCATAGGATCAAAGCAAACCCTGAGGACATCTTCAAAAGGATTTATATCACCAGGCAATTTCTGTGGATTGAGATCAAAAACATAAATTGCTTTGAATATTGGTAAGGGTATTCACTCCTTACCCTGATAGAAGTGTGCACTGTGTCATGAGTTTTTAGCACAGTAGAGTGTTTCACATGCATGGTTTTGCACAGTATATCGCATGTGTATGTGGTTTGATATATACACGTGTTTTTTCACTGGGGTGAATATTATCGGATTGATTTCACATGTAAATTTTTATTTATAAAGGATAATGCACTATGTATTTTTTTGTTTTGTTTTTTTGAGGTAATCAAGGTTTTGCAAGCAGCGGAGAGTTTTTACACTTGAATCAATTTTTTTTGGACTACACGTATTTATTTATTTATTTTATTGTGATATTGGACTTTAATTTGAAATTGGACTTTAATTTGAAAATTATAGATTTTTGATTTTTGAAATTATTATATAATGAAAGGTTCCTTTTATTAATTGTCACTGAGCATATCTATATTTACATTTGTACACCTCTAAGGGTAGAGGTGAAGTGCGCTTATAAAGGGTTGGGGAGAATTAGTGATTTACATTTATTATGTTCAAATAACTGTGAGTTCATAGGTTTGCACACCTGCTGTTGGCAATATGTGGGTTTCCATGCTGCCTAAAGATTGTGTATTATGTATATTAATGAAAATGCAACAAAAAAAAATGAAACTTACAAAGATTGACCAGAGTTGTGAATGATGGCAGGAAGACCTAGCTGTTGAAGCATTCAAGAAATATAAAAGCCAATTGATGGACCTTTACTTTAAAGTGGTTGTAATCCTCAGACATGAAATATGAACAAAACATATCCCTGTATAGTATATACTTGTCTCAATTAAGAGCACTAAGTGTCATTTATGTCTGCTACTTTGTTCCTCTGCTATCAGCATGAATCACTTCTGACACGTTTTTCTGACACCAAGAAAAAAATGGTGACAGGGGCAGGACCTCCAGCAGATTGACAGCCTCTGCTCTGTGCCTGTGAGCTGTGTGATGGGGGTTGTGTCTTTTTTCACCAATCAGCTCTCAATGCTCTCCTCACTAAGCTCTGCAGAGTGTAATTTCAGCTTTCCGTTGCAGACCACAGATAGACAGGTACAACGTATGGAGGAGGATTTGTTTCATCTTTGTTTATTACCTGAGGCCAGTCACTTCACTGGGGTGTATGTTAGGGTTTACAACCACTTTAAGGTCCAGTTGTATACTCTTTAAATATGCTGTCTTGAGTTCTACTTTAAATTGAAAAACCCTGGCATACACCACTCAAAAGGATGTGAAATACCTATTGGGCACTGTGCTGTGAAAATTGACACTCTTAGTTACAAGAAATGTAAAACAGAGTAAAACAGTAAAGGACTTTATAAATGCAAAAAAAAAAGAAGTTGCAGTGAAACTGTTGCTGTTTTCTGTTTGCAGACACCCTTTCCCCAAAGTGTTCAATGAGTGTAATAAGCGAGAGCTGGAACGCTTTCTGCGCTCTGGAGGGGGAATGTGCCTCAGCAATACCCCAGACACAAAGACCCTTTATGGAGGAGCACGTTGTGGAAATGGCTTCTTAGAAGAAGGGGAACAATGTGACTGTGGGGATGTAGAGGTATGATATACGCTCTGTCTCTGTATGTATGCAACCATTGGCTCCCCCCTCTTGCAGAATCCTTGCATACAAGGCTATGTAGATTAAAGGGGATGTACAGTGTATATTTAGTGACTATGTCTTTTTACTTATTTTTGTAGTGTTTACCTAAAATTCAAAGTTTTGCAACAAAAAATCACCAGGAGGTAGTTTTTCCGCAGAAGTGATGCAAAGTCCCTTTTGCCAATAAACCCTTTTCCTGGGTCCTGGTAATTTTTTATGATTTTTTGAGTACATCCTGGAACTTTACGTCTTTAGACATTTTATCATTATATTTTAATCACTTGGATTCTTCAGTTTCTCTAATTCTATTTCCCATGCTTTCTGTCCTCCAGCAATGTGACAATCCATGCTGCAATGCTACAACCTGTACCCTGCTGCAAGGGGCAGAGTGTGCCCATGGGACCTGCTGTCATCAGTGCAGAGTAAGATATCTCTACTTTGTTATTCATGCAAAGGAGAAAAATTGTGTCCAGCTGACAAACACAACTGTCCGCTATTGTATGATGCCTCCATAAATAATGTGGTCTAATGTAAGCCACATGTGTACAATAATTCCTTGGTGTCACATTCCTGCTTAGCTCAGGCCACCTGGGTTCCCGTGTCGGAAGACATCCAGAGCTTGTGACCTGCCAGAGTTTTGTACCGGACATTCTCCTGTGTGTCCTCCCAACTCTTTCCAGCTGGATGGAACTTCCTGCCAAGAAGGAGAAGCTTTCTGCTACAACGGGAGGTGCCTGACCCACCAACAACAGTGCCGGCAGCTTTGGGGAACTGGTGAGCCAAGCTAGAGAAACTTAGCCCTTTGTTACATGTAAATTCCTAAGATACAGAATAATTTGTCAGCATGCATAGATGCATACATTTCTACTGTTTATTGGATGAGTTAAACCCTGCTATATGAAGCTATATCAGTAAGGAAGGATACGTGCATATTACTGAAATCCTCAGATTAGGATTTTTGCATGGAGTAATGGGATTCTAGTCAGATTATAAGACATACACATGACCATCCGAGCAAGCATTAAATTGCTTTGGCTATGACATGGAGTAATGGGATGCTAGTCAGATTATAAAACATACACATGACCATTAGAGCAAGCATTAAATTGCTTTGGCTATGGCATGGAGTAATGGGATTCTAGTCAGATTATAAAACATACAGATGACCATCAGAGCAAGCATTAAATTGCTATGGCTATGGCATGGAGTAATGGGATGCTAGTCAGATTATAAGACATACAGATGACCATCAGAGCAAGCATTAAATTGCTATGGCTAGGTATCAGTTGGGGAGAGTTCCTCTCAGTTCAAGCACTAGTAACACAACAGGAAGTCCTCAACGAAAAAACAGCATAAAAAACCTGAAGAAGCTATTATTAAATCAGCTCTACTTTACTAGTAAAATTGCTTTTATTGCTGATTATGTCCCCCCAAATATGGAACAAATTTATGACAAATGCTATCTGAATGCCCAACAGGAGCAAGCATTGCACCGGATGTTTGTTTTGAGAAGATTAATGCAGCTGGTGACCAATATGGCAACTGTGGACGAGATCTGAATGGTGAATATCGAAAGTGTGAAGTGGGGTGAGTTAGGTATATTATTTTGTGCTGTTTATCCGTTAATCTAATGCGCTATTTAATACATCTATTATAACCTCCCTGTAGGCATTTCAAGTGTGGGAAGATCCAGTGCCTAAGCTCCTCCTCCAGACCCATAGAGAACAACGCCGTGGCCATAGACACCACCATCACAGTACAGGGGAGACGTGTGCTCTGCAAGGGGACCCATGTTTACAGAGTCACTGAGGAAGAAGATATGATGGATCCCGGCCTGGTCCTTTCTGGAACTAAATGTGGAGAGAACCAGGTCAGGTCTTCATTTCAAAAGCTTTCTTCATGCAAATATTTGAAATACATCTCATGTTGTGTCCATTGCAGTGGATCAGATTATTCTGATAATTCTCCTAGAGTGCACATTTCCAGGAATCCATCATCTCAAAGCCCTGCACCTATCCCACCCCCCATATGTCTGCCCAGTGAAGGTTCCTTTCTGCTAGGTGTACAATAGAATTATTCTACAGCTTGTCTTTTTTGGTAATTGTCTAATATTACACACATTTTCCCATGGTTTGTCCCTTTACAAATATTGCTATGAAATACCTAATCTACCAGAAATCCAGTGAACTCCTAACATCCTCAAGATAACTGACACTTCTTAGCAGTGTTGTCAACTCTGCCCAGGTTACTCTTCTGGACTACAGAACACCACACAGAACACCACCCTCTTTTGATTAGATTAGGGGAGGAGAGGTGTTCTATAGTCCTAACTTACTTCCTGTTCTAGGGTGACAACGCTGCACCCTCCTGCAGTACAACGAGTGATCATTGTCACCTTAGGACAGGAATTATGTTATTGGTAGGATCACCAAGTATAAATAAAGTGAAAAAACTCTTCCAAAAATACTGCACCCACCACATTTAAGGACTGGTAGGCTGCAACATATTACATTTTTGTTCTTGTGTTTAGATACACTTATAGTCAATATTGTACAAGTTCAGTTGGGTAAAGTAACACATAGCAACCAATCATATTTTAGTTGGCTTAAAAAATCAGACCGATGAAGGATGCTTTTTGTTTTACATTTTACACATTGCTGTTTGCCTTATGGAACACAAGCCAGAGTGTTTAGTCATTTATGTTCTGTACCTGAATGAATTGGGGTCACATACATATTCATTTGCTTCCTGCAGATATGCTTTGAGGGACAGTGCCGAAATACCTCCTTCCTTCAAGTGGACGAGTGTACGAAGAAGTGCAATGGAAATGGGGTGAGAGTCTAGCCAAACTCACTTGAAATCTAAAAGTGTAACAGTATAAAGGGGTGTTCCAGGCAGAAGTGACATTTTAAACAGTGGACATCCCCTCTGCACTGCAAGGGTTAAATATGTACGGTTTAGGGGTGCAGAGGCAAGTTGTAATCCCTTATTCCTGGCTCCAGCTGGCTTCCTCCATCCATGCAACAAGTCCATCTAATGTGCTCTCATCCACATACAATGTGGGATTAAAACCTTGCACTGAATGTATTGATAGAGGGACCACCTACAGCCTGGAGCTTTGGGTAGAAGAGAACAGCTTTGGATCCTGCCAGACTGGGGGATAGGGTAAGGTCTACACCTTATCCCTGCATTCATGCACTAAGTGAGCAATTAACTCTTACATGGGGATTGAGTGGGGTCCATTGCAAGGGTCCCTCCCTGAAGGAGCCGCTTGGTAAATCTTCGTTCTCTGTTCTGTGCCTTGACTGCAAGAACAACCTCAGCCCTTCTGACACACCGGTCTGAGTAAAATTCACTGCAAATACAGATAAGTACATAAGTGTAAAACCTGTTTGTGGGTTACTACCAGTAAATAGACTCTCACCCGTTTAGTGGTAAATGCTCTTCATCTATTGATACAGGTTAGAATAAATGACAAATTGAACATAAATGAGAACACAGCTGATAAATTAAAACACAGTCTGCTAAACAGTAATAACTACACTGTATTGCTAAAAGTATTGGAACGCCTGCCCTTACACGCACATGAACTTTAATGGCATCCCAGTCTTAGTCCGTAGGGTTCAATATTGAGTTGTCCCGCCCTTTGCAGCTATAACAGCTTCAACTCTTCTGGGAAGGCTGTCCACAAGGTTTAGGAGTGTGTCTACGGGAAAGTTTTACTTTGTGAAGTAGTACTGCCTGGACCTTGAAGAAGGGGACATACCCCGAAAGCTTGTCCTCAAAATTGTATGTCAGTGCAAATAAAAAAAGTATCACATCAGTACTCAATTGTTTCTAGGAGACTCATACAAATGTTTAAAACATCCCTGCTGCCACCTTGTGGACAAATAGAAATATTATATCTAATTTTTGCTGTACAATTTTTTTTTTTTACCTGCAACAGAAATACTGCATGAGGTCTACCACTGATTCATTTTTTTTAAGATGAAAGGTCTGTGATTGTCATCTTAATCCTTCCTTCACTACTTGATTAATCTTTGCCCAGAAAAAGAGTTTTTCATATTAGGCCTTATGTATGTGTTCTTGGGTGCATGGTTGTACTTGGTCATTGACTATATAGCTAAAGAAAGATAAAGGTAGCTCTGGAGTTTGTCCTTTTTTAGAAGCAAGTCAGGGATGGCAGATCCGATATTCCATTTTTATGATAGTCCCCTTTTAAAACTAAATAACTGCTCCTTCTAGAGTAGCTTTTCTCAACTTTTTACCCCAGAGGAACCCTTGAAATAATTTTCAGGTCTCAGGGAACCCCTGAAGATTAGTCCATTGGGGGACGTTGGAAAAATGCCCCTTACATTGGTTGAGGTCAGTAGGAAGAATGCCCCATTTATAGTGGCCAGAATGTCACTTTTGTTGGCCCTGCTAAATGACTTTGGACCTGGAACTATAAAGGTGCCATCAGAAGGGAGGTCAGGTAGCAACCCACAGCTTGAGGAACCCCTAGTCACCTCTGGAAGAACCCTAGGGAACTCTAGTTGAGAATGGCTGCTCTAGGGCAGTGGTCTCCAAACTGGCCCAAGGGCTGGATGCGGCCATCTGCTTGCCTTTATGCGGGCCCTGGGCACTATTCCTCTCATTGATACAAGGCATTACTTTCTCCTACTGACACCAATGATGAGGCATCATTCTTTCCACAAATACCAACACTGGGGCATAATTCCCACTAATACCCCTAGTCACCTCTGGAAGAACCCTAGGGAACTCTAGTTGAGAATGGCTGCTCTAGGGCAGTGGTCTCCAAACTGGCCCGAGGGCTGGATGCGGCCATCTGCTTGCCTTTATGCGGGCCCTGGGCACTATTCCTCTCATTGATACAAGGTATTACTTTCTCCTACTGACACCAATGATGAGGCATCATTCTTTCCACAAATACCAACACTGGGGCATAATTCCCACTAATACCCCTAGTCACCTCTGGAAGAACCCTAGGGAACTCTAGTTGAGAATGGCTGCTCTAGGGCAGTGGTCTCCAAACTGGCCCGAGGGCCGGATGCGGCCACTTGCTTGCCTTTATGCGGGCCCTGGGCACTATTCCTCTCATTGATACAAGGCATTACTTTCTCCTACTGACACCAATGATGAGGCATCATTCTTTCCACAAATACCAACACTGGGGCATTACACCCACTAATACCAACAATGGGGTACTATTCTTCCCACTGATACCAGCAAGGTTGCACTACTCCTCCTACTGACACCAAGGATAGGGCACTATTCCTTCCACTGACACCGACAATGGGGCACTAATCCTGCCATTGGTACAAATGATGGGGGTCTATTCTTTTCACGGATACCAATGATGGGGCACTATTTCTGCCACTGACACAAATGATGGGGCACTATTCCTGCCACTGACACAAATGAGGGAGTTCTATTCTTTCCACTGATACCAACGATGGGGCACTATACCTCCTCCTTCTGACCACAACAAATTTTTTTGCTCCCACTGACCAACAAACCCCAGGCATTTTCTACACCCACTGGCCATAGAGGGCCACTAGTCCTCCTAAAGTCTGAAGGACAGTACACTGGCCCTTTGTTTAAAAAATTTGGAGACCCCTGCTCTGGGCAAAAGTCCCTTTTGAATAAGCTTGATTCTCTCTAAACTGTAATTACTTCTCTATTTAATAGGTTTGCAATAATAACCAAAACTGTCACTGTGCTCCTGGATGGAAACCTCCGTATTGTAACCAGACAGGAAATGGTGGCAGCATAGACAGTGGACCAATACCTACAGAAGGTGAGTGTTCTGTTTTCTATCTGGATGGCAGAGGGTACTGTTCCTAGAACTGAAGGTCATTCCTACAGTTAGGCAAGGTAGAAAACATGTCTCAGGTAGCACCCTCTAAGGCTTGAGAAAATATTTTCACCTTGCCCCTGGCTGTCAACTTTTCCAGTGGAACTCAGAGAATCTATATTAGTTCACTGTTTTACCAGGCTCAACCTATACAATTCTTCTAGGTGCCTCAGTATGGGGTTGGATGTGGGTGGAATCAAGGGTCTTTGATGGCTATAAGGAGAAGAACACTCCAACAATAGCTCTGCACACTAACCCACATTTGTTACATCTCTTCCTTTTTCTAGATTCGAAATCTGTGGTGCTTTGGGTGTTTCCCTTTATAATATTGCTAGCTGGAATAGCAGTCATTGCATCCGTGTACCTTTACAGACGAAGGTGTCTGAGCAGATTCCACAAACCAGACACTATTCCCGCAGCTGGCTACCTGCACACAAGGTAAATAGCCCATTATTCCATATTTTCTGTTAGTGCCTACATATTGCTTTACACACTGACCAGATATAAAATATACAATTTAAAAACTCAACTCCAGGTATAAAAAGCACCATTTAGTTCAGCTGTGTATTCATTAGAAATTTAATCATTAAATGTATATTATAAATGTAGCTAGTATAAGTATCTGAAGCTTTTTCATATTATTTTCTGTGTTTCCTGGAGGGAGCGGTAGCATCGTGAAACACTCAGGTTCTACATCATTGCTCAGCTTTTTCACGGTAGCCCTGGGGGGCAGAAGGAGAGAGCAGTGTGCTGACTGCATTGGTTTGGGTTGCTTTATCATTGTCCAATCAGCAGGCTGGAGATGTGGAAACAATCAGTTGGTAGCCGTACCTAAGGACAGATATGAATTTTGGTCACTGATAGCTAACACAGGAGGCTTAAAATCACTCTTTATTTCTTTTCTGGACAGTGACAGCAGTGATAAATGCAAAATCGATGCTACCTCCAGACAACGACCACAGACATCCATGGTAAGACTCTGGATCATTTTGCAGTGCTTTCATAAATCTGGTGTGCTAGGAGGAAGGTCAGTCAGGTAGAAGTATCCAAGGGATACCTGAGTAAAGATAGCCAATAATACTTTCACCAGGTAGCCCAAAACAATGAAAATAGTACCAGTCAAATACCCCCAAACCTGTATCAGTCGGATCAGCATGTGGATAACCTGGTGCAATACAGACAGGATTGGTTTGTCAGGCTTCAGTAGACTTCAACACACAGAATCCAACTTCCTGTTACATAAATGTGAATGAAAGTGGTAAAAGATGGCTCCAGCTCCTGTTCAGCTGTAGAGAACTCCTCAAACGTGTTTACAGGCCTGAAACTGGAGCTCCACCCAAAAGAGGAAGTTCCGCTTTAAGGACTGCTCCCCCACTCCCCATTAAGGATTGGCACCTTTGGAGATCGGGTACCCGAATTTGACAGGTACCCGCTCCCACTTACGGTCCAATCACCTAGGCGATCAGAAGCGGAAGGTGTCCTCCCTCCCTCCCTGTAGTCTTTTGGGACACGTGACAGGTCCCAGAAGACTACAGGACCATTCATGAAGTGCAGCGCTACTCGCACATGGGCAGTGGGTACCCGGTTGTGAAGCCGCAAGCTGTCACAGCCGGGTGCCCACACTGAAGATGCTGGCCTCCTGGAATACAGGATGGCCAGTGAAATGGACTGCAGGGGACACACCGCGGGACAGAGGGACAGGTAAGTGGCTGTTTATTAAAAGTCAACAGCTACCGTGTTTGTAGCTGCTGACTTTTATTTTTTGACAGCGTGAGTGGAACTCCGCTTTAAAGTCATATTAAAGGTTTGGGGTTTTTTTGGTTGACAATGGTTTTGCACATTAGCCCTTAGATAGCTCAAGCTGACAGAGCCAGTGTCACGTACCTGGATAGTGAGCCCAACGTGGAGAGGCAGGCCACCTGTACAACTCCGGCTCATGGACCGCTGATGGTGAAACAGCGGCCACAGGGGCACAGTAGGGTATGAGTGCCTGTGATCAATCCGGAAATAGCTGGTAAGCAGATGAGCTGCAGGGCGGGCCGGAGACAGAGAGCAGGATTCCGATGCAGCAGTGCTGTATGGATGGATTACCAAGAGGTGCGTTCTGAGTATGCAGGGTCAGACAAGCCGGGTTTGGTATTGGTTGGGCAGATCAGGCTTAAGCGGCAGGAGGAAGAGTAGTCGGGTCACAGGCCAGGTCAGCAGCGGAGGATCAATCAGACAGGAGCGGAGACAGAAGGGTAAATCCAAGGCAAGCCAGAGGTCAGGGTAGGTAGCGGTCAAGCGGAGGTCAGCAGCAAGCTGGTTCGGTATCAGAAGACAATCAGAAATCAGGGAACACAAGCAGAGATAAGACCATATGGCAATGGGACATCTACTACAGCCAGTTTAAATAGCCCTTTTGGCACCAGCATTAGTGACAGACGCACGCCTGTATGCGTAATTGCGCATGCGCGCGCCTATGTCCAAGCACCCGCACATCTGCCCAGCCCGTAAGAACTCTGCGCATGCACATATTTGTGCGCGCCTATGTCCAAGCACCCACACATCTGCCAGGCACGTAAGAACTCTGCGCATGCACATATTTGTGCCCGCCTATGTCCAATCACCCGCACATCTGCCCGGCTCGTAAGAACTCTGCGCATGCACATATTTGTGCCCGCCTATGTCCAAGCACCCGCACATCTGCCCTACATCAGCTGTAAAGTATGTAACAATATGATTAAAATGATTGGCGGAAAATAAACAAAAAGCAAATATATGTGACATCTTTGTGAGACAATAATGAAAACTGTGTTCAAAACTTCAGATCTAATCCAAACAAAAAGATTGGGTACGAGAGATTTAGACTGCTGAAACTCTAGTTATTTATTCTCTCTTGAGAAGAGGAGATTAAGGGGGGATATGATCAACATGTATAAATACATCAGTGGTTCATATAGTGAACTCGGTGTAGAGTTAGTCACCCTGAGGTCATCACAGAGGACAAGGGGGCACTCTTTACATCTGGAGGAAAAGAAATTTAATAATCTCCAAATACAGAAAGGTTTCTTCACAGTGAGAGCTGTGAAAATGTGGAATAGACTCCCTCAAGAGTTGGTTCTGGCCAGCTCAGTGGATTGCTTTAAAAAAGGCCTGGATTCTTTCTTAGATACACAGAATATAACTGGATACTAACATTTCTAGGTAAGGTTGATTCAGGGAATATCCGATTGCTTCTCGGGGGATAAGGAAGGAATTTTTTTTTCCCTGCAGGAGCAAATTGCATCATGCTTTGCTGAGTTTTTTTTGCCTTCCTGTGGATCAACTGTGGGTGTAGGATTATAACTTTTTTTTTTTTTTTTTAATGGTTGAACTGGATGGACTTTTGTCTTTTTTCAGCCAGACTAACTATGTAACTATGTAACCTGAAAAGCATTTGTAGCACTATCCATTACATAAAAGCACCTTCACTAAACAAAGACACGGGTTGTTTAATAAGCCTGTGGACAGAGATGATTTCATTCTTTTGTACATTTTAAAGGATGCTAGTGCATGTTCCTGATAACAAATAATTGATTGTATTTTTGCTATCTCTACAGGGCTCAAAAAGCCCAGTCAGTTTACAGTCCAACTACAGGACAGCAGATCATAGGTCTTCACCCAGTCATCATCCTCAAAGCAGACAGCTAGAAGGTGAAGCCACAAAAACTGCATCTCCAGTAAGAATGCCTCCACCGAGCAGGCCAGCACCACCACCTCCACCTCAACAACCACCAAAGGTAAAGCTGATCCATAGGACAGCTGGATGTAATAATTGCTGCGCTACTTGAGCATTTCAGATGATCAACACAAAGTTTATTATACGCTTAACCCAACCAAACCCCTACACATATCAGTAAAAACAAAAGCCATGATTTTTTTTACCCCCAACACTTTAAATACAGTATATTCCTTTTTCAGGCTATTCTAGTGAAGTCCATGCACTTATCTTATGTGATCTGCTGTACGTGGATCCAGTGCTCTTTAGTCTACTTAGAAAAATAATAAATGCATATTTTTATCTACAAAAAAAATTTGCATTTATTTTTGTTTTTTAAAAAAGGTGAACTTATACTTTTAAAAAGGTTGAGAAAGGCTGCTGTAGACATAAGGAATGCATAGGTACCCTCAAATACAAGGAAGTAAACAGCTATTTTTCAGGAGGAATTCCAGCACAATTTACATTTCTAGCTGTTCCCTATAAGGCTCCATGCACACGGGGCATTTAAATAACGCTGGTAGCGTTAGCTGTGTAAAGTCAAGTTAAAAATTTGAGCTTTTCAGTGTTTTTGCATTAGCATTTTGGCGCGTTTTTTTTCACGTTTGCAGGTTTTTTTTAACCAGAAAAAAAATTTTGGGGGGTTACAAAAAAAAAAGTCCAAAAACGCCGGTTTGCTGCGTTTTTAAGCATTAGAGTGTTTTTACAGCTAAAAAAACTCCTCTAGAAACCTGGGGGTTTTTCCAGCCAAAAAATGTCCCTGCCATGAACACATAGGATAACATGCTGGGGAGTTTACTGGCTGTAGAAAAAAACGTCAAAAGCCAAAAACAGCCGCTGTAAAAACATCCAGTGTGCATGAGGACTAACATAGCAAATTTTAATTTCTTGAGTTTAGGTCCACTTTAAACTTGCATAGTAGAATTGGTGTTTACATGCAAACAATTTTATGTCATTTGTTTAAAAAATGTTATTAAAGTTAATATTTTTCTTATATTGCAGGTATTGCAACCCCCCAAAAGAGTGCCACCTCCCCTTCCTCCAAGTAGGACGCGGCACACTGCCAAGTGACACCTTAGGACTGACACCACAGAAGCAAAAGAGTGTGTGATTCCATATCGGGAATTAAACAGGACAATTCATGTGTCTTGAATGGAATGTCTGGAAAAGATGTGTAACACCAGACATCAGTAATTAATGAAGAATTTCCATCCAAGATTTTGACTATCACCTACACATACTGAAGGCAGC